AGGATGCTGTCTGGATGCAGCAGCTACTGGGCTGCTGTGCCTCGTTCGGTTGGGCGCCCAACTGTCTCTGTATGAGGCTGCGAATCACGCCCAGGGCCTGCATTCTTTGGAAAGGCCCGGTAGGCCGTGGAAATGTCTTCGGTACTCGGCCTGTGTTTCTTTCAATCAACTGGCGCGTCGCAACTGCCTGGACCCCAAATATGAAATTGACAGTCGAGGGCCTCTTGCAAAAAGCCAGGCCCGCCTTCACTTAGGGCGGGTAAGGCTGCAGACAGGGCCCAGTAGGCCTACAGAGGACACTGATCCTCGCATTTTATATTATTATTATTATTATTATTATTATTATTATTATTATTATTAGGAGAGGAATAATGGTCTAGTATACGCAGAGCAAGAGATATCAAATATGGCCAGGGCAGTACAAAGGGGCCGACCCGAGTTTACTACTAATTTTATTATTACAAATGCAGTTATCATCAGGTTTAGGGTTTAGGGTTTTGGGCACCACCACTTACCTTGAAAGGAACATGCAAGAAAAGTAGCTCCACCCAGCCGGTTATTTCGGAATTAATGGTCAGAAGCATTTTTCTTCTCAAAAAGTCTGTCAACAGCGCCGGCCCGAGTCCACGGGTGGCTGCACCATCGATGGCAACAATGAACTCAAAGATATTGAATCCGCCTGCCGCATCCCACCCAGCTGGAATGACTGCTTTACCCAGCTCATGTTCCTAATAAAACCACACACAGGAACAGGGGTCAAATTGTCACTAGAACATATATAAGTGGCGTGTGCATCAAAAAAAAAAAGAAAAAAAAAGTGGCGTGTGTGTGGAGCATCACACCAGGTGAGGAGGTGGTGCACATGAGCAATCACAGGATCATTTCATCAATCAACCAATCAGATCGGTCGGTCGATCGATCGATCGATCGATCACAGGATCATTTCATCGATCAACCAATCAGATCGGTCGGTCGATCGATCGATTGATCGATGAAATGATCCTGTGATCGATCGATCGATCGATTGATCGATGAAATGATCCTGTGATCGATCGATCATCCATCCATCCATCCATCCATCCACTGAAGCCAGCTTCGTCCCCCACCCAGATGGTATGATTGCCATGCTCAGATGGCTGAAAATAAGGGAGGGAGCAGAATGGTGGCGAAACAGATTTCTTACAGTACATGAGGGGATATGCAGATTTGGATCCGTATTGAAAAGAAATGTCGTACAGTAAATAGATTAAGCAGTTATTGCCGTCCTTTGGGACATCCGTTAAAATTGGAACGAGATTGGCATGGCCCCTGCACAAGGATGACATGCATAAGTTAAAAAAATGGTCCCCCCCCCCAAAAAAAAAACAAACAAACATAATTATACATCCAATAAACATATGAGTCATGATATGACTAATATGTCATTGATTATTTGCATAATTTGTGATACTTAAATAAATCATACAATAAAATTCAGCTTCTTGACAAGTCGGTGAAATGCCTATGAAACAGTCTGCCTGTCACAGCCCCTCGTTTGATGTCCTCTTCTCCCTGTCTGCCTATGGTGCACCGCACAGTTCTGTATGACCGTACTATATATATTGTCACATAACTATGAACTAAAAGAGTGCACTTGTCTTTCGGGACATCCGTCAAAATTGGAACGATACAGAGAAGATTAGCATGGCCCCTGCGCAAGGATACACACACAAAAAAAAAGAGCGCACTTTGCGAAATAAACGGTAAGGATTAAAAAACAAGACAAAGATGAGGGACACACTGAAACCATTCATTTTTCTCATTCTTCTTTTAACTCCTACTTCACCGTGCCTCTCACGTACAAGGCTCGCCACGTTGACGAAGTTGAGTGTGAGCTGCCCGCATCCCCGTGTGCCATAACGGCCCACTTGTACGCTGTGAGAAAGAGGCAGAGTAAAGGGGGAGGGGATAAACACAAAGAAGAGATGGAGAGAAGACAAAGCAAAAAAAGACAAAGGGAAAGTAAGGAGTGTAGAATGAGATGAAAGCAAAGGAAAGAATACGAAAGGCTCAAGAATCAGTCTGTTGTTGATGACAGATAGGACATGAATTGTAACGGTGAGGTGGATGAAGACATGGAAGACCTAGCTGAGCATTCTCAGTAAAACAATTGCCATAACAGCTGGTATTGAGCATGCCCAACATACACTCCTTTCAAATGGCATGTCGATTGCAGGCCAACATGAAGGAAGAACGGGCATCACAGAGGACCTTGCATTCAGTATAGCGCCCGTGGCCCCAAAATGAACATAGTGCCCAAATGCGGAGGTGCCTGCAGTCAGGAACGGAGGGACAGTCCTCAACACACATGGATGCAGAAACCGTGTCATTGTAGTGATTGTGACAGAGATGATGGTGGTTAAAGTCGAGTGTAACAGTGTTTGTCGTTGTGCAAAGGGGACGGTCCCATAGTTTTGGTACATTGCCCTGCTACAGCACGGGGCAAGAGGAATGATCTTCAACATAAAAGAGATTGCGGACGGTTTGCAGTGACAAGAAAACAACATCATTATGTTAAAAATCAGTAGCATCAGTCATGCCATGGACCAGGATGCCATGGTCCCACAACTCGCAGTGGTCAGAGACATGCAAAATGCCCATGTAATTTTGCCAGGTCCGTGTACAATGCAGGCAGAGATGTGGGATGAAGGAGTAAACCACTCGCCTGCTTGAGCATCACGTAGCTCAAGTTGGTGGTCCCTCATTGCTACTTGTAGGACAGCGATGGAAAAACCTCTTTCCCTGGTATAATTACAATCCTCTGGCTGTAAATGCCCATGTAATTTTGCCAGGGCCGTGTACAATGCAGGCAGAGATGTGGAATGAAGGGTTAAACCACTCGCCTGCTTGAGCATCACGTAGCTCACGTTGGTGGTCCCACCCAGTTCGTATGTCTCGCCAATTGGTACAGATTTGTTCAGATCTGGTCGATTGGCCAGCGAATGTCTATCAACTAAAACAGTGACCTTTGTAAAACAAATGACAGACCTACAGAAGAGAAAACATGAACATGAACATGAACATTGAACATGAACATGAACATGAACATCACAGCTGTGACACAACGTTTTGTCGGAGTTTCACCAACTCATCAGGATAGGGACAGTTTGTTACCTGTCCGAGGCTTGTTCCGTCCACCTACTGCTGCCCCTGCTCTTGTCAATCAATGGACTGCAGGCGATCTGGAAGTCATCTGGAAGGAGTGGGCTGTTTGCATGACATGTAACTTTCTGTTGGGTTGACGTTCCATCACCCTTTCTTCTGCATCCACCTCTAGAGTTTCTGTACCTCCACATTTGCCAGTCTCTTTTTTTTTTTTTTTTTTTTTTTTTTTTTAATATCATATCCATTCTGGGGAGCCTCAGTCCGGTTCCTATTCCACCGGCAAGTCAGATATACAACGTCCAGTCTTCTTCTTTTTCTTTTTTTACACAAAAGCCGGCCTTACGGACCTGGCACCGCGTTCCATTGTGGGGAGCTTCAGTGCGGTTCCTATTCCACCAGTAAACAACTGCCCCCGATCCTGACCAAGTTGGTGAAACTCCGAAGAAACAGTCTGTCACAAACTGTGATGTTCATGTGTCTTTTCTGTATGTCTATCATTTGTTTTGCAAAGATCAGGGTGATCACCCACCCTGGTCTTTGCAAAACAAATGATAGACACACAGAAGAGAAACACGAACATCACAGTTTGTGACAGACTGTTGCGTCGGAGTTTCACCAACTTCGTCAGGATCGCGGCAGTGATTTTTGTGAAAAAAACAAACAATAGACATACAGGAGAGAAACATGAACATCACAGCTGTGACAGACTGTTTCGTCAGAGTTTCACCAACTCATCAGGATCGGGGCAGTTGTATACCGGTGGAATAGGAACCGGACTGACGCTTCCCAGAATGCAACGCGGTGCCAGGTCCGTAAGGCCCTGTCTTTTGGAAAAAAAAAGAAAAAGAAGACGACTGGCAGTTGTGGAGGTACGGAAACTATAGAGGGATGTACATGCAAAGGAAAGGGCAATGGAACTCCAACTCAGCAGAAGGTAGCAATAAATAGGGAAAATGGGAGAGGGGGAAAAGGGGCAATGTCACATATGAGCAGAGATAGGCAGAAGGGTGATAACTTTATAAGCTGTCTTGTATGACTGTTATATGCAGAATACATTCTCTGTGAGAGTACAGTCTACTACATCTTCCAATCTATTGACTCACACTGTCACACATCAACTGATTCGCAAAGATGTATTTAGCGTTACTCTGATCACCCTTCTGCTTATTACTGCTAAGAAACGAGTGTGTATTGGGAGTAGCCCATGCTGGCCCATAATTTGGTTTTCTTTTCTGAGTTGCTTTACGACAGTGCCGGCGCTGGGATTTGACCGCACGACTTGCTGGGCTAGATGAGAACTGTAGTGTTTTCTGTATTAGGCAGTGTTGGCCCCTGTTGGGATTTGAGCCAGGAGTTATGGGTCTTAGGAAGCCAGTGCACATTTGCTGTGCTCTAGAGTTCAGACTGTAGAGTCTTTAGAGTTTAGACCATTCAGCCAGTTGTTTATTTCCGTCCAGTTTGGTTTTTCCACACCGGCAGGCCCCTTGCTCTTCCGTACATAGCACAGCAAGGACTGACAAAAGTACGGCGAGTGACGGGTTTGCACTTAGTACGGAAGAGCAAGGGGCCTGCCATTCGAGGTGAGAGATGTAGATGCAGCCACAGCACTTTCGCACTTGGTATCTGCAGCGAACAAGGAAACGGTTTTAACAATCCAACCGCCATTCGAGGTGAGAGACGTAGATGCGGCCACAGCAGCCGAGATCTCCGAGACTGCGCCAGCCGAATCAATTGCAGTTCCGATCATTGCATGTGTGAGGATTGAGCCCTCAAGAAGGGGCCTTGCCATGATGTACATGTTCTGGGCTAAGGCCCCAGCAAGCCTCGTGCCCGCCCTAAGTGAAGGCGGGCCAGCAAATCAACAAGAGCCCTCTGTGCAAACATTTCACGAAGTGGGGTCCATACAGTTGCAGCACGCCAGTTGGTTGGAGGCACCGAGTATCGGAGCTCTGCAAATGCAGAAATCCCAGGGCCCTGGAGTTGGTTAGGCCCTGGGCACATAAACGTGAGGCCGACATTGCATACTGGAAATAGAGGCCGAAAATGCCAATGGGATACGGGTCCACTATCTGAATCTGGACGCAGGCCTGGATGAAAGAGGCACAACTGTACTGCGTGGGCCCCAACCGCATTGGGCCTGGGTGCAGATACTGGGGCCCAGGCRCAGGCTCAAGGGAGGCCGCCCACACGCAACACTGGCATATAGGCAGGGAGGGCGAGTGGGCAGGGATCTTGGCCATTGCGAGCAAGGCCGGCACGCTGCTGCGTTGCATGTGTGCTGCGCTGCGCTAGSCTGAGCAGAGGCAGGCAAGCGCTAGCGGTAGAGCGCTGCCTGGGCGCAGGGCGCTGGCGGCCATAGCCGGGCTGCCTGTGGGCGCAGAGGAGGAAGGGCGAAGGTGGTKCTTCGGAGGTGAAGGGCGCTGTGTGGGATAACAAGGGAGAGTGAGGGAGAAGAGAGAGACGTACCTGGTGGAGAGGRGARGTCGGCATTGGTGTTGACATSATCACTCGCTGRTCGTCAAGTTGTCTGGTCGCTTACATGCTGTAGTTGTAGTGCTAGRCTGTAGAGTAGGTAGGGCGCCAG